GGTTGAAACTGGATGATCTTTATGGTCCCTTCCAACCCAAACCATTCTATGATTCTATAAATAACAAACAACTCAAAAGTTTAGCTGTTGTTGTTGGAGTTGTCATAGGAAAAAGGAACGAGAAGAGTGTGAGTCAAGTGGCTGCAGTGTTACAAAATACTTCCGTTTTTCTGAAAATGTCACACTGATGGCATCCTGTAATCTCAGTGATGCAAACCCTTCTCTGATTGGGGAAAAACATTAACAAACAGCCTAGCTAGGTGGTCAGAAATGCCATTCATAATATAAAAATGGAAGAAACAGTACTGAAAGCATGGACAGATGTTTCCTTCTGGGTAACATATGCTGAAAACACCGAGGAAACTAAGTTGTCTCACCTGTAAAAAGATATTTCTTGTCCTAAGGTGAGTTGTGGGTCTCAGTAAATACACTACGGCCTATGCAATTCTCACATACAATCTACCCCTCTTACAAACATCACCTGTGACTGAAGCCACCTGGGTTTCCAAATGCCCAGGTTTGTTTGGCAGCAAGGTTGCCACTACATGTTTTGGTTTCTGTATTTCTGCTGTAAAGAGAGAAGCATGCAGCTGAAAGCGACGACCAAGGTGAAGGTACTAACCTTGCTCCCCCAGGCAGGCAAAAGGCAGCCCACTGGCAGTGCTTCAGGGGAGCACAGTCGTGGCACTGGTGGAGATGGACCGAGGTGACTGCCCTGCTGTGACAGTCCAATTCATCAGCATCCAGAATACTTCGCTCCTCTTTCTCTACTTTTTTTTTAATCGAAATAGTCAAATGCATGCCAAGCTGGCTTTGTATCACTCTAAAGTCTTAATTAAAATGTAATGTGGCACAAAGTCACATTTCCTGGACTTAATTGGCCTTAGAAAACATTAACTGGGTACACACCAGTGGGCAGTGATGAGTTTTTAGCTGAACGCATATCAGAAATAGTTGATGGGAATCTGAGTGGGAAATGCTACAACTTACGTAGAAAGACAGGAAAAGAGGAAAGGGTATAGTCTTGTACATTAAAAATATGAGATAAAAACGCAGAAAAGATAAATAACAACGCCAAGTCCTTTCCTCTGGTTACTTCCAGGATTTCCATCTAGGTATATGTTTTAGTAAGGGGTGAGTGAGCTGGGCTAAGTCTACAGAATGTGGCAAACGAGCCAAATATGCAGAGCAGGATAAACTGGGAGAGCATGCTGGCAGCCCATGTGGCATTAGAAAAACTCAGGAAGGAGATGGGGAAGAAATGGAAAGGAGGATAGCACATTAAAGCAGTGAAAATACTGTTAAAATGTATGACTTTGCTTACTGTTGACTAGTTAAAGAAAAGCTAGGGCGGACAAGGACAATAGCAACAGCCTTAGGACCTCAGTCCATGCTCATGAAAACAGTTTTTGCCCATGCTGGGATGATGGCCAATTATCGGTTTTCCTATTGGTGGACTAGACAAAGTCACAGTGCCTCTGAGCACATTGGAGATGCCTGGGTAGCCTCAGTTGAAAGTGTCTATATCAATTAGACCCTATTGCCAATACTTGGAACTTCTGTCATTTTTTAACAGCAAAATCTTAAAAGCATTCACAAGTCTCACCTCTGACACTTGTGTCTGGCAAGTGTTACCATGTCTGCCTATGACATCATATTAAAGAAATTCTCCCAGAAATATTTAATTATTCAGTCAGCAGTTCCATATCTCAGAGCTCCCCTTCATCTTCTTGTAGCGGCAATGTTGTAACTCAGCTTTGCTTTTCCCCCCACACGGTTTATGATGTGCATAAAAGTATGCTGCCAGTACTAAGCAACCAGCTCAGATTTTCAGTTAACTAAACTATGCAAGTGTTTTATATCTGTTAACAAGCTGGTCATTAAATGAATCACCTGTTTCTCAGCTAATCAAGCTAAGAAGCTATAACTGAAGACCTATAAAAGCATCAGTGTATTAAGAAAAATTGTTAATTGGTGAAGCAGAGCAACAATTGGTCACTTCAGCAGCTCCCACCAATCTGAGCAGAAAGATTCACCAGTGCCAGCTTCAACTAATTCACCAGAAATCAGATTTTGACACAAACTGATGTCCAGGGGAAGTACCATGAAGTTGCTACACAGGAAGCATACATCTCTTCTCCCTTAGTTTATTACTGGAAAAAATTTATGAAAGTATTTAAAATGGCTCAAATCCGGGATGCTCCATAGTAAAATCTGGGGTGCAGACAACCCTGGACTCAGAGGGATGAATTTTAGACCTAGCGCTTATTTGCGCAGCGTAACAAAACGAACCTGTGGACCAACCACCCTCCCTGCTTGCGGACAGGTGTGGTTTAGACCCGTGTCCGAATTCTGAGCCCTTTCTAGGCCCACCCCTTATAGCAAGGAGACTGAAAATGTTGGGTTTAACGTTGAGCTCCTCCGTTGCTCTTATCCAGCGACAGGGCATACATGGAAGCCTCTGGTCATGTGTTTCTGAGTGAGTGGGATGGGATGGTGGGGACAGAGGACAGGGCAGCGGTGGGGGGGCACAGCCATATCCCATGGTCTGCATGCCCAGCCAGACACTGCTGGGGGAAAGTGAAAATTAAGAGGAGGGAGGAAGGGAGGCAGAACTTACCTACCCCCTCGCCACCTCCACCACTGTGGTCCCCCATGCCAGGCACAGCATCCTGGTGGGGCTTGAGACCTTCTGTCTTCTGCCATCTACAGCTGTTGTCACACCGGTGTCTAAGTGCTTTGCAGCTAAGCCACCTGCTCCTAACAAAACATGATGTGGTTTTCTGCTTCTTCCTCTTCCCAGGCTCAAACCAGCCCAAAACACTCAGTTGCAGGCTGCCAAGTGGCCAGCCATTTTTCCCAGTTGCTGGAGACAGCCCTGCTTGGGGGTTGCCTTTTGGGGCTGTAAAGGCACGCAGTGTCCCACTGTGCTGGGGGGAGAATTACAGCTTGAAAACCAGGGCAGGGGGGAGGCACTGTTGAAACCCGCTCGCTCAACCTCCCTGAAAAGGCAACCTAAAAACCTTTTTCCTAACGCACATAAATGAAATTCTGTGTTTGTGTGATGTTTGTCCCCATGGCACTGGGTGTAGAGGAAGATGGTAGTGAAGTCAGGAGTCAAAAAGGTAGAGGAGTGTAGGAGTTCGCTCACCGCCGGCATAAAGGTGTTTCAGCCAAGTTAGTGCTTGAAGAGCAACTTCTTTTTTTTTCTTCTTTCTTTTGCAATCATTGCTTGCTTGACAGGCCCAGACAGAATTACATCACTTCCTAAAACCCATCAAAGAGAGTCCATCTCCTGCAGAAATGCAGCTTCGATGCACCCCGGCAGGAAGCAGGAAATGTAAATGTTCGGGTGAAGCAGGGAGCCAGCCGAAGGGCCCCTTGGCTGAGGCTGCTGCCGAGGCAACATGCGAAAGCTCAACCTCATCGCGCTGCTTTTTGCCCTGTGGCTGGCCGGAGGATCTGCCCAGAACGGTGAGTGAGAAAGCGCCTTTCGCCTTGCCGAGGTGGGACTGCGTTCCGTGCTTGCAGCGATGGGACCGACTCGGAGGGCAACACCCTCCAGACTGAGCCCTCGGAGAAGATCTGTGGGGACTTGCTCTCAGCTTCTTTTCGCTCTGTTTGCCCTCTCTGCTTTCAGCTACCTGACTTTTTCAAAGCTTTGAGGTTTTTTCCTTAGACCCAACCCTGAGCGGCAGCAACCGAATCCTACAATTCCTACATTTCCTAAATTGCAGGTGTGTGGGGAACTGGACTTCCCATGCTGGCCCGCCAGGCATTTTGCTTCTAATTTTAATTATTTCTTCTACTCTTTTAACCCCACACCCGTACTACCAGCATTTAATAGTAAAGTTAAAGATGGAGCACCGCTTCTATTCAAAAGCTGACTGCTGATTTCCGTAGCCCCGGTGCACTGAAACTGGGTTAACAAAAGAACAGTCGGTTCCGGAGACAAATACTGTGAATTCTCAGCTGCAGAACAAAGTGGCCGGCATGTGGATTTAGGTCCTGACCTTCTGAAGGGAAGAACCGTGAGTGGAAAAGCCGCTTGTGACAAACTACCAAAGTGCTGGGGGTGTCGTTGCAGAGGCTCTCACCCGTCACAGGGGTAGTTTGTTCCACTGGTGCTTTGGCAGCCAAGTGACTGCACAAAGCAGGCAGCTCTTTCACTCCAACCTTGCCAGATGGTGCTTATCTGCCTTTCAGTGTCAAACAAATCACTGCCGAAGTGCCTCAGTGTGGACTAGAAGGGTTTGCTGGCTCTGTGCTGCTGAGGTGAGCAGGAGCTCTCCTGGAAGCAGGGAGAATGTCACTCTCAGCTGTCACTGAACCTCTTCTATCCAGGTTTTAAAATGCATTGGGGAAATAGGTGGTTTGGTACGGGCATTTGTTTCGCTGAAAACCATTACTATAAGCAAGGTGTAAAACTGGGCTGCCGGCGCGCTGCTGAGCTGCTCACGGTTAGGAGGCTTGCTTGGCTGTAAGAGCGAGCTAAGTGAGGTATAGAACAGTTCAGTCTTGTCTGCATTGCTGCAGCTCTGCTGCATCACAGACACATCAGGAAAATGTGCTGCAAGCGTTGAACATAGCTCACAATCAAAGCAGTCAGAGGAAAAAATCCTGCCGTGGACAAGGCAAAACGGAGGTCTCGGGGGAATGGAGGGGCACGACACAAGCAACGCAGAGTGATCAGGCTCCAGCTTCCTTTGCTCATTTGCATTGTGCCGATTGCTAGTATTTCATCACCGCCTCCACAGGGTGGAGGGATGCCTTAGTTCCTGACCCCCCTCCAGCCTACTGCTCAGTCACTCCAGCCCCCTTCTTTGCGATGGGTATTAATGACAGATGTCACATCCCAGGTACCCCAAGCCACTCCCTGCTGCCTTTCAAGCCTTCCTACCAGTAGGTCCACCTTTAAATTCAGGTTGGTTTTGGAACAGTTCCCCATGGGAGTGAGTCAGCCCTGTGTCTCCTGAACCAGGCCCCAGTTCTGGGGAAGGGGAAGAGAGCACCTGCCGAGAGAAGACACAGACCCTTGCTCCCCACACAAAGGCAGCAGTCATCCCCAAAATGAACCCAGGACTTACTCTGACTGCAAGGGTGAGGCGGGGGGAAGTTGTGAATTTGGGCCCTGGGGTTGAAATTGAACTGGAGGGGGAAGACTTTGTGTAGGGGCTTATATATTCCACAGGCACCTGTGGGTCTGGAGCTCCAATGCTGAGGGCAGCCTGACAGGGCGATCCTTGGCTCTCACCCCTGCTTGCTCACAGATCAACAGGGCAGGACCTTTAAAGGAGTTTTTCCCTTTTTCCTCCAGTCCCAGGAAGTCAAAATCTCTTGGGGATCTCCCAGGTCTCACTTCTAGACTCCAGAAACATTTACAAAATAGGTGATAAGGGTATGATTAAATCTTGCAGCACAGACAGATTGAAGCCTTTGTAAGTCCTGTTCCCATACCTTGCTGGAGCCTTGTAAAACCCAAGCCTTGCCACTTGGATTATGATTAACAGACGGGTTTCTCCCTGCTACACTATAACTACTCTGAGTTGGCAGCTCTAGGAGTGTGCCCGAGGCCTCAGCTCTGTGCTGGCCGGGGTCGACACTGAGGAGACATTGGGGTCTGCACCAGCCACCTTCCCCTTGCCCATCCCCTGGCTTTATGCAGGCAGAAAGCCCTGCCGGTGACCTGCTGAGAGCCAGCACTGGCCCTCCCTGCTCTCGGTGATGGTGGTGGCTGCTCAGCCTTGCAGCAGCCCCAGAGACCCACCGAGGTGTGTGCTCTCCCTAGGAACAAGCATTCATGCCCTTACTGTAGCGTATAGGAACAGATTCTGGCCCTACATGCGTTTCCCAGGATATGCCATCTCCCTTCGTGAAACATGGGATATTGCGTCTTAAGTGGTGTGACACAGGAAGAAAATGTGCGAGGGAGAGAAGCAGTAGAGCATGTAAGGTCCTGAAGTGGAAGAGCTGGGACAGTCGCGGGCAGTGATTTATTTTGGCTGTGTCTTGGCGCGATTGCTTTGAGCTGTCATTCAAATAAACACTGCTATCAAAGATCCAGATATCAGCAGGTTGCACTGCGAGCACAGGCAGCAGCCCTCTCTTTGGCAGAGAAGTGCCTTTTAGGTAAAGCCCCCTACAAAGCCAAGGTCTCTAAGGGAGTAATATTTTTGACCCGTTCCCCCCTAGGGAAATGAACTTGGGAATGGGTTTGAACCCCGCAGAGTCGCCTGTTACAGTTTTCTAGCAAAGCAACAATATAAGGACTGAGGATTTGCTCCATCCTCTCTTTCCAAAGCACAGCTCCCTGAAATGGAGATTAAAAAGCCTTTCTACTGAACACATCAATTCCTTGTACATATTTACTCCTGTTCATCCCTTTTATCCACACACAAAAACTTCCACTGTTTTATTCTAATGCTTATGGGGCATTTCAGAGAATCTCTCCTTTATATCAGGAAGATTGTAGACTGAATTTCATCCAGTGACCCCAGTCTATTTTCCCTCAAGAGATTTAATGGCAGCTGGAGAGCCTCTGGGGCTTTTGAATCTTTAATTTCAGGCTCCTCCTGAGAGCAAGGAGCACCGAGAGATCCACATCACTGTGAGGTCTCACGGGTATCGCTGATGCAGAGCTGTAAGGCCACGAGATTAAGTAGATGCAACTAAATGCATAAATTGGTCTGGAAAACCTTTAGTACAGGGGGTGACAAATGAGACTACAGGTTTGCAGTCTGACTCCAAGACGCGTGACTGAATTTGCAACACCGGCAGTGAACACAGCACTTCAGCTGGATAGAAGTACAGTGAGGAGAAAGCAGTTTCCATCCTCTAGAAATGAACTTAAATGGCTGTTTCCTCTTTCAGGTTATACCTAGATAACACTTTCTAAGCACTGCGTTTTAATAGGATCTTGTCTACAGATTAGGCATCCTGAAATGCTTGTGCTCCCTCATCAGAAGAGCGCGTGCACCCGACAGCCAGCCCGGAGGCTTTTAAGGATTGCTCTTCTAGCCAGACTGACAGGCGGGACCTGCCACAACAGGCAGTTGGGCAAGCCCTGGCCACGGCCAGGAACGGCCCTTCTTGCAGCAACGTGAAACGCAGGGAGAGGAACTGAACAGGGATGAGTCAAGCAGTGGGAGAGAGGATCATACAGACCACGTGGAGTTGTATGACCATGCCGCCAGAAGGAATGTGTGTATGGAACAGAGGGATATAGGATATGGTAACTTTGCTCCAGCATACACAGCTTTGGAGCCTTTTCTTGTTTTGTCACCCTCTCGTGAGCTTTCCTTTCCCTGCATTTTTATAGCTTATAGCAAAGTTAGGAGAAACAAAAGATTTCCTTATAAACTATTAAGCTTGACTATCCCATTAACTTAGCTCTGGCTTTTTCACTATCCCATCCCTTTTTCTTCTGTAAGTAGGTACTACAGTAGAAAAATTCCCTTCAGAGAAATTCCCTTCCCAGTCCTCGAGCCTGATGAGAAGGCAGCAGGGAGACTGATGATTTTACAGCATAATATGCTGACTGCCGGCTATTTTCCATCTCACATCCAACTGAGATCAGAAACCTGTTTGCCCGCTTACTTCATCAAGAAGCTGGTATCGCCACTTCTGAGGGCTACAGCACAAACCTCAGAGGAAGAAATGCTGCGACAACAGAAATGTTGTTTGTTTGTTTGCTGTGCAGTTGTTTAGGCTCCAGTCTGTAAAGCTGCTTGGTGCGTTCAACACCCTCTGCCTCCCTTGAAAGGCAGGCTTGGGAGCACCCCAAAAACACTTCCAAGGTCCGTCAATAATCCCAGCATAACACCTTATACCGTGGTATGTGCATACAGGGACATAGCTTTTTTGTAATTCGTGAGAACTGTAATGGAACCTTTTGTGAGCTGCTGCTGGTGCTTGCTCAGGCATTTTCATCCCCTGAGGACCAGATCCTCTAATACCTCAGTAGTGGGAACCTGAGGACTTCTTAGCTTCCAGCTGTGCCCAGCTGCCCAGCAGGATGGGACTCAGCTGCATGCCAGCTCCTCACCCTTCTGCTCCTGATAGCATAGAAAGTGGCAGTATGGTCTGGGCTGAAGCTGCTGGTGCTCCCACACACTTCGTCACCACAGGCAGAAGTCGCCAGCACTCATGCCCCAGGCAGTCCAGACAAAGCTAAAACCAACGTGATTGTTGTGTGAGCCCCTGCTCCTTGGCTGAGATGTGCAGAGGGCCAGGTACAATGTCAGACCGTAGCCAACAGCATGAGGCTGAACTCGGCAAGAAGAAGTGCACGGGCTTCGCAGACTCAAGGAGATAACTACATGGTCAGATGTGACTTGCTCCTTGATCCATTCCACTAACCTTGGTTTTCCATCCTGAATGTGTGTTCTGTTGTGTTATGTTATGGTCAGACTTGCTTTTGGAGGGAGCTATTAGATCTCTGCAAGACCAAACCCAAGCCTAGCTGACGAAGACAGTTCATGGTATGAATGACCACTGCACATCTGGCTCCCTCCAGGCATGGAGAAAATGTCTGAACAGCATCTCACAAAATCTTTGCCTTTCAGACACTCTCCTGCCCTGCTCCAAACCTTGCAACATCCAGCTTTCATTCACCCTACGAAGCAGCCACCGGGGCCAGCTGCTACACAGCCCGCTTGCTATTTTGAGTGCCTTAAACTGAAACACTATGAAAATCAACTACCTTGGGGCCAACCACATGGGTCTCATGGGGCCCAGACAGCTGCACCGCGCCTGCTCCACGAAATCGGAGTTGTTCCCTCCCTGTCGAGCTGGAGGTACAAATCCTTCCTTGGTGCAAGCCTCCAGGCCTGCCTGGGCACAGGTTGTGATTTTCCTACCATGACAAAATGTGATGTGTGGGTAGCCCAAGAGTGGGAGCAGCCTCTGTGTGACAGGTAGGGCATCCCTCAGCTCCAAGCTCTGTTCCTCAGAGATGACTGGCTGGAGGGAGATGTGTGGAGGCAGGTGAAACACAGGAAATCAGAGCAATATCCTTGCAAGAACATTGTGCAATTGGCTGCCCTTCTGCTGAAAGACGCATTTAATTCACTCGGAGAACAGAGCTCTGTAAGAGGAAATGTTGTTCACAAAAGAGATGCTGTTTTGTCCCTGGAATTATGCAAAGTGAACAAAAACACGTGCCAGCGAGGTCACTCCCTGTGATTTGCCATTTTCTTTGCCTAGAGACAAGAAAAGGTAATTCCATTTCATGCAGAGATAAATGGTTTGAAACCTGCTTCATAGCTCACAAACAGGCGAACAAAAAGTCCCAGAGACACTCTTTTGGAAATGAAACACAGTGTATGCTGCAGCTGAAAGTTTAGCCCTGTGGTTAATGAGGTGTGACTTTTGCTTTAAAGTCACATCATGCGTTAGACATCTGAAAAAACCCATTTTAGCTCTAAGAGTAAATGAAAAATAAGGGATTTTTTTCATCCTTCCCCATTTTGTACTTGTTTTAGCAACGGGCTTGTCCTTGTCAGTGTCAAATGAGGATGGCTGGAGGAGGAAAAGGAAGCAAGGTCATCGAAGGGGTTCGGTGAGGCCGCAGTGGTCCACCTCTGGTGGTACCTCACCACTTGGCACGGCAGCAATCGAAGTGGGCTGGCTGCAGGTGTCGGGGACTATAAACACCCTCAGGAAAGGAAAGTCAAGTGGCCATACTAACAACGGAGAGGGGCTCCCCCTCCCATCCTCCGAGATAGGATTAATGAGAGCCACGGGAAGGGGCGGAGGAGCACACGCGTGAAGGGTCATTACCTGCAAGGGAGGCAGAGATCACGTTTTGCTCTTGACTGAAATACTAATGACAGAAGAAAGCAACAGAGATTGTCGACACGAAGTGCTTTGCCACTGAAGAGCATTGTCGTGTTGTGGAGAAAGAGTCCGGTGACCTTTGCACTATTAAATATTGTACTCAGGTATTAGGTATTATTTATGAAATATTAACATTTTTTCCTAGTTCTTAGGAAAAGATGAAACATTTGGGTTCCTGAGTGACAAGCGCAGCATAAAAATCTAGATAAATCACTGCTGTCACACTCAAATAATTTCATTCATTTGAAATCGGGTTTCCTGGAATACAGTCTCATGAGATACTCATCTCTTCTTCAAGACGAATCTGACAGGAGAAGAGATGCTGCAGAGTGGATTAAGCAAGAGATAGCGCTCTAATCCCAGTTTTCCTCTCTCACTTGGTGTCCCTGGGAAGGACAACATCTCTGTCCTTCTGATTTCTCATTTGTAAAATGGAGATGATAACTGCTCATCTCTCAGGGCTATTATGAAGATTAATGTGTTTACAAAAGCATTTAAAATGCTAAGTACTTTTGGTTCCAGTCCTGTGAGACTGGAAATGCCAGCACCGAGGTGCTGAAAACCTTAAGCTCTTGCTAACTCTAGTGGAAACTGTGGCTGCCCAGCACTTTACAAGATCGGGGAGAAACATGTCGTTGCAAAGTCATGAACTCCTTTCCTGCTTTATTGCACAAAATGAGAGCTGCACCATGCCAGCATTGTATCTGAAAGGGCAGATAACACCAACAAAATCATCATTTAATTTCATGCTAAGAAAATTATTGACGGCTTTGCATTTGGAAACATGTTGGTGTAATTTATCTAGCCTGCAGCTTTGGCTACAACAGAATTTTTGGTATCAGTATAGAATACAGTATCAGCCCAGAATTTGCTGTACTTCTGTTAAGCTTTAAACTCCATGACAGCCAACATAGGCTCTTAATTAGCCTCCAAAAAAAAAAGGCAGCTTGTTTCACTATTGCCAATACAGCCAATTTTAGCCACTTTTCTTGCAAAATGCATGATAAATGAACCCAAAACCTGAATGAAGGTTAAAAACCCCCAGTCTTAGCATTTGTGAAGAATAACCAGCACTGACTCTTTACCATACCCTCCCCTTCAGCCCACCCACAGATCAGACAGGAGCAGTTAATTGCATCTGTACCCAGTAAAGTCCCTGGTTTACTACTACCTCTTCTAGCCCAGGCAGAAGTGAAAGTCAGCAGCCTTTGCAGGTTTCAGACTTCCTTTCAGCAGTCCTGTTTTTCACAGTGAAACAAATAAAACACATTTGAGAAAGGCACAGAAACAGGGAGATGCGTGAGCCAGAAGAATCGGTGAAACAGGGAATGTGGTCTCCCCGAAGGGAGTGCTAACCCCTTGGGTAAGGGGAGAGATGAAGGAGGTTGCAGCGGTAAACACCAAGGCTGAGGCACAAAGCAGGATGGTGTGGTTTACTGGGAAGCGGAAGACTTGCATGTGAGAGTGAGACTGGATGCCAACCTGCAGGAAAAAGTCTGTCTGTGCAAGAGATCTGCGTGTAGACAGACCACGCGTGCCGGCAGGTCCTGGTAAAAGCCAGCTGACAAATGTGGCCAGGACTGGTAAGATTTTGTGATGAATTTGCCATCTAATTTTACATGTGATGCCCAAGACTTCAAAACTGTGTGTATGGGGCACCTAATGATTTATTTTTTTCAAGACGTCAAATGAAAATTAAATATTTAAGCTGTATGCTTTTACTCACTGGTAAAACAAATAAGCCAAATAAAACGTTAAGTTGTCCTCATGTATTTGGCAGGCTCTGAAAATGGTTCAGGAGATGGATCACTGATATTATCCACCATTACAGTAATGCCTCCTCCTGCTACGCCTTCTTCGACCGCGGGCAACCACGAGCCAGTACCTGTCACTGCAGGCATTACTGAAAGCAGCTTTGAAGTGAAAAGCACTCCAAGCACTGAACTGAACGCTGTGAACAACCAGGACACCCTAGAAGCAACGGAGCAGCCTATCTTGATGTACACTGTCCCCATCGTGCTGCTGGTCCTGCTGATGTTGCTGCTCATATTTTTTGTAATACATCATAAAAGGAAAAAGTCTAAGCAAGGTAAATTTGTCTTGTTGCACATCAGGAGGATATTTTTAGGATGTGTTTGACATGAACAAAACATTCTGTGGAGATACCACTTTCAGGATGTACTTGTCCGGTTGTAGTTGCAGATAAGATAGGAAAGGGATCCACGCCCAGCCTTATCTGGGCATGCACCTCTGCTTGGGAGGGAGCTAGTTCTGCTTTTTGGCAACTCCTGCTCACACTGCACACCCACAGGAGTCCCAGCACCGAGCTCCAGCTCCCAGCAGTGCCAGGAAAGGCATACAGATGTAACCGTGTGGCTGCAAATGCTTATTCTATCTTTATGCTTAGTAACTTAATGCAAGGGGAATTTCATGCTTCTGCTGCCTACACTGCTCACAAGGTAATGCTGCTCAGGGCTTCAACAAAATAAGAACAGGCAAAGCCAGTTTAAGGAACACACTTAAGGGATCCTGGAGGGGGGTGGCAGCTGTGGAGGTATCTCAGTTAATGGGCTAGGAATCCCATAGTCAGACTGCCTGGGTGCTGCAACAGGAAGGTACCTTGATCTGTTGGCAAAGAAATCGGTAACCTGGAGTGTCAAGCCACAGAAATCAAACTCAAGTGTCACACTAAAACCACGCATTTGGTAAGTGAAGTCCTGAAATGGTCATACCGGTGTTTTGACAGAGCAAGAGCGTGGCTGTAAGCTCCTCAGCCTGCAGACAGTGGCGTGTGTTCAACACAGATTTTAAGTCCATTTTTTAGGGCATTTTTAGTCTGCACCTGCCCTATCACTGGGTGATATCACACTCATGGCAAACTATGAATTCACAACCAGGTACCTAGTTTCTGCCCACCTGTTTCTGCATGACCTGAAATGCAGGTACACTCTTCCGAGTGATGGGAAACATGGTGCCATGCCAAAGCATAATCCTGGGATTTTTTTCCCTGTGCCTATTGCTTAGAGCTGGGATTTTGGTCACCTTCAAGGAAGGGGCAGATGGTTCTGTGACTCTAGAGCAGCTCTGCAGTCAGGAAATGTGCAAGAGCAAGTGGGAGGTGTCAGCACCCATTGGCAACAATGAACTAAAAATAAGATGATTTAAGACAGTATAGAGTGTAGTTCTTCACTCTTTTTTGAGGGTAGAAGCTTTTCAGTCACTTGATTCCTGGAGGGGATGTTGTTTTTTTGAATACTGACTGTTCCACTATTCCCCCCCAACTTTACCTTGTCTTGGGGTCATAACTAGCTTCAGATCTCTTTTGACATCTGGCTAGTTCAGTTCCATTTGCCTGACTCAGATTTAATTTACCATGCAAGTCCACCCTCCCCTTCTCTCCCTGAGTGGCTCCCAGAGTCTCCAGACAGAGCTGGATTGCCTGCATGCAGTCTGCAGCAAAACGTCCCAACGCTTCCAGTAAACAATTTGTTTTGCAGCAGTCATTCCTTTTCAGGATACCATTCCTCTCACGACATCTGTTTTGCTCAGGGAAGCGTGCATCTGCTGCCTCCTGCCCACCACAGCACAAACAGTCAGCTCCCTCCCAGCACGGCTGAGCTAATAATGAGCCACTTTTAGTGCATTCGACATTAAAAATAATGGGTTCCTCTAAAAAGAACAAGCAGGATGGGATGTTTTGTCTTTCATCAACACGTTAAGTGGTATGTCTTTTGAGAATGTAACCTGTTTTATGTGACCCTGGTCGAGGCTTTCATGCAGTTGGGACCCTGTATATACAAACTATGAACACCAACTTTTTTCTTTTCCAGATGAGCTGGGAAGCGAAAATGTGAAAAGGTAAAAGTTTATGGACATCTTTTTTTATTATTATTCTTTTACCCTAACAGGATATGATGATTCTGGGCCTCCTTCACCGCCTGTTTTAATTTAACCATACACTAAACGCTAATACTTTTTGCCATCAATTGCTCCAGTTAACTGTCTCTAGAGGTGGCTAAAGCGTGACATTACCATCTAGCTGAAGGTGTAAGACTGGAATAGGAGAACAGGAGTTACGGTGGCCAAAGCAATGGGGCCCCAGAGGCACCCCACACCCACCCCTGTGCCTGTTCTTGGCACCCCTGGCTCTGCCAGCCAAGACATACAGGGTGCCCCATGAGCAAAGGGCCTTAGTCCCCAGGCTCATTACAGGCTTTTACTATTCAGAATAAGCTCTGTGCCTTGCTCCCCTGTTTTTCAGGTTTGTCTCCTCACTCTGAGACAAGGCAGAAAGGCTTGCCCAGCTGCTGTGGAAGTGATGCCTTAGCTGCTGGGAGAACAAGCCAAAAGTGGCATGGCTTTTATCAGAGTGATGGTTTTTATCGTTACCTTGTATTGAGCTCCATTTTGCTAAGCAGTGCTGGAAGTAATTAAATTGGTTTCAGGTAAATAAATAAATAATAACAATTTTTAAAAAATCACCACACCAAAAAAAAGGATTTTTTTGGTAAAAATATTTTTCTGCAGTGTGATTTCAGCAATGATCAGCAAAAGGAAGCTAAACTGAGGCATTTAAATAAATGGGGAGTTACTCCACTCATGAGCTTTCCTTTTGAAGCCACTGCCAATGTCAGTCACAGTTAGGGTGAAACTTTAGACCCTCCGCTTTTATCACTGGAGCAACGGGACTTTTACCACATGTCCCAGCAGGGCAGAGACAAACTATTTTTCAGTTTTCTATTTACAGTAAGGAGAGCTCTCACCAGCTGCAGTGGTGCTGTGCTCTGGCATACCCCAGACTGCCCCGAGTCCCTCCCACCCGTGATGCCGCAGCCAACCCTTCCTCTGCCCAGGGCCGGCATCTCCTTCGCATCTGTTTGTGGCCATTTCGCTCGCACCCATCAGGCTGACCTCTTCTCAGATCACTAGGCTAGGATGGCTTGCCAGAGTTTTGCACATGTGTCTGGGACTATGAAAGACATACAAAATTACTACACTGTGAGTTGCTTGAATGAAGCAGTTTGTGTAATGCCTTTTTTTTCTCTCCTCCCACCCCTCAAGTCCTATTTTTGAAGAAGACACGCCCTCTGTTATGGAGATAGAAATGGAAGAGCTTGATAAATGGATGAACAGCATGAACAAAAATGGTACACAGTAACCCCTCTACTCCATCATCCCTCTCTTTCTAGCTGACGCACATCCCACATGTAGAAAATCAGTGTGTGTCACCGCTTCTCCGAGAATGTTTTTAGCTGTGTTCTTGGCTCCCTGCTGCTAAAATAGCAGCACAAATGTTGGGTAGATGTGTTCAGAGGAGTATTTTAGTTTGTGTGGGAGATATTTTTAAGATATGATGGAATATCATAAATGTTTTCAGTTTCCAGTAGACACTTCTACTAAACACACATATAGCTGTGAATGATATTTATATTTTTAAATACACATTTTTAATGTTAGTACTAGATTCCCTGCAGCATCTAGCCCTTTCAGTCTTCAGAGTTTCTACAGTTCTGTGCTCAACATTATGCTATTATAGAAGAAACATGCATTTACTCATAGTTCAGGCCACTGTTTACTTAAAATTGCTGCCAGGATCCTATGAATACATCCCTTTCCTCTTTGGGTCCTTTCGCTCGCTTGCCATCTCTACCACACGCAACTCAAGGTGCTCTTTGCTGCCAGCACCGTTCACCATCTTCTCTGGCAAGTCTGCCAGCCCACAGAGCAGTTAGTACCTATGGTAACAACCATCAACAGCATCTTTAGCTCCCTCTTAGCTACTCCGAAGTATCTTGTATTTTCCAGCCCCCATTTTCCTCCCAACTGAAATGTTCCGGTCAAAATCTCTAAGGGCCCTGCATCCTCCTTCAAGGCTGTCCTCAAAAAATGCAAGTCTTTGGTAAGGTGTGAATTAACCAAGGCCTGATTTGGAACTGCTGACAGCTTTTCTCTAGCTAGGAAATGCTGAAACCCTGATTTTTTTCTCTCTCTCATTTCTGGTCCCTTGCCTTATATCCAAATGGCTCATCTCTCTGATCTCCTAGGGATGCTTTATTTTTCAGGACATAAAACTCTTTGGAGCATTTCTTTGCCTTAGCACATGATGGGGTTTTGACCTTCACGGTCCGTAAGCTCTAGCACAAAACATATGCTAAGGAGCAGCAGTGACATAGACATTAGGTATAGAACACAGGGAAATAGAGCTGTAAAATATTTTCTTAAAATTCTGTGGGCAGAAAGGGGCAAATAGTTTACATAGGAGGATTTTTTTTTTTCCTTAGTGTTCCCTAAACCCCAGCCCCAAATTCCCAGCTGGACTATAAACCATAGATGCAACTATAAGCAGTAGAAGATTAATAAACAACCCTTAAAAGTAGTTGATTTGTATACAACTGAAATATATATAAAGAAATTACAGCAACACCTATCAAAGGGAAGGAGGACTTCAAACACGTAACATTCATGCTATGGGGACCGTACAGATTTTGCATATAAAAGGGTGCAGAAGACCATGTGCAGTTTTACATTCCAGAGAGTGCATGATAAAAGTTGATGCAATTCTGAAACACAGAACTACCAGTAGTAACTAGTCTTGTTTCTCATCCTTTTTCAGCTGACTGTGAATGTTTGCCTACTGTACGAGAAGAAGAAAAAGAATCAATTGCCAATCCAAGGTACTTTTAATTCATTATATTATTTGAAGAAATACGGTCAGTGTGATTCTAAAATAATCTAATTTTTTAATAGGTAATTATAAGTAGATGGATTCTTTGGTCTATTTAATTTTTAAAGTTTTTATCTCTAGGGACTCCGATTTCAGCTTAAACAAAAGGTTTAACACTCTTATTTCTAAACTGGTCTCTGCCTGTAAATTGCACCGCTAAATAATGATGCAGTTGTAAACCTGAGCAAGACAGACAACCAGATGGCACAGATGGAGTTTTACTCGCTGATCAGACTTTAATCACAGTTTCCCAGGGTGTTAATACAAGCATTCCACACAGCTTCCTTGGTGCTCCTTGCTGGCAGACACCCAACTCCCCACTGCCACCATGGGTCTGTAGCTCACCGAGAACCACTGCCAGATGTTTTGGCTGGAGCCGTGACCTCCTAAACAAGGGGCTTGTCTGACCTACAGAGAAACCCACAGGATCTTCCCAGTGCCCCATGCAGCCCTCCCCCAGAACCACAATCCCCACAGCTTGTAAACTTAACTTTCTGGCAGGTTTCCTCAGCATTTTGGCCAGAATCGCTAAGAAACTCTTATTTTCTCTAATAAGAATTGTCGATGCAGCTGGAAGCAAGGGGCTGTACATCTCCCTTGGCTACATGCTTGTGTTGCAGCTGCATTCTGGGGAGTGAGCAAAGTGGACTGCACAACAGTTCTCTAAAAACAGATCCGCTGGGCATACCGCTGACCACAATAAGCACTGTAGGACAAAGTGTGCTGGAGCCATACGCTAAGACCAGCAGAAGTTAGTTGCAACCACACCCTGAGCATTAAGTTTACTTTCCAAAAAAAACCTAAACAGTTCTTGTTCAGGAAAAAAAAAATCATCAAGACCTGCCAGCTTGAGCTGTCATTTTCAACACCATCTTTGCTAATGTGTTTTTTTGTACTAGATTAGCAATAACCCCATCAGAAGGTGGGGATTTTGCTCCTGGCTGGCAAAAGGTGTCTTTGGGCTACACCCTACCTCAAGTTCCCCACCTGTAAAACAGAGACACTGTCACTTGGAAGCACTTTAGTGAAGCTTAAGCCTTGGTGTAAAAAAGCAGCCCTGCTCAGGCAAGTATGCTTCAGTCAGGGTGAAGGTACACCCCTTATTTCAGCATATCTTCTTGTGAACAGTACCTTCAGATCAGATTGTAGAGAAATTTATGCCTCAGAAATGTAGGAAGGCAAACAAATGCAAATAAAAAGAGGAGCTTTACCTCTCAAACATTCAGAGCTGCTCAGACGAAGGATATTAGCTGAATACAAAGTGCAAGATGATTCGATACAATTTCAGATTCTGAAAGACTGCTTTCTTCAGGCAAACTTCTTCTCAAGTGATGGTAATTCCTTTCTTCGATGTTATTGATGATATTTCAATATGGGAAGCATCTCAAGGCCTTACTGAACACAGCTGGATGGGTGGTGTTTTCCTTCTTCATAAAGATACTGGGGGGAGTTCATCAATACCCAAATGTTTTGAACTATGAATTGATTTATATAAAATATCATTTTGAAAACATCTGAGACTAAACATTTCAATAATGACATTTTGACATTTTCAGAATGAAAATTGTTCCAAAACTACTTTTCAGAGTAAGTGACTTCTTAATAGAAAATTTTTAAAAGAAAACAGAACCATGTGGTAGTGAAATATTACGAAGTTAAGTGTTTCCCTTGATTCAAATCTGCCTTTTCAAATTTCATTTTACATGAAATTTTGAAATGTTATTTAATTTCAAAGTGAAAACATATCTGAAGTGGTGGGATTTCCTGGTAAAACAAAAAATGGTTCCTATTTATTTCTGCAATTGAACTTTATCAATTACCCAAGATCTGCTGCTTTTTCTAACCAAACTCTTAGCTGAATAAATAATATCATCAAGAGAGCCATGTACAGATAAATAGATGTTCACAGCAGCTCTTTGGAGCTAGAAAAGTGAAAGACTATGAAGTAAAATGAAACAAAGCTATTATTATGGCAAAAAAACTGTACTCATGAGCATCAAAGCTGCAGCTTTGTGCTCAAGAGGCACGGTACGACAGCCTGGGCTCCTCTGTGGGTGGAGGACAACTGCCTTGTGTGTAAGCCAAGTTAAAAATATATATGTGTACATACATTTTAAAAATATATATGTATTTAAAATAAAACACCTTGCCTTTGAAACCTAGTGCTAAAATCCTGATTGTGCCTGAGCAGAAAGCCGTGAAATCTCCCCAGCCTCGTGGGGGTTCCCACCCCATGCATGCAGGAGCAGGCAGGCAGGGGCTGATGCTTCTGTGCTGCACAAGCAGGGGCAAGACCAATCACTCCTCCAGGGACCTTTACTCTGCTGGTTAAACACAGCCTGTCCCCTTCACAGCTCAGGTCTTTGTATGCTGCCGAGTATGATGAAGCTTCTCCCCTGTGCTTTATCACACCTACAGGGTGGGTTTTGTTTTCCTTGGGCACTGCTGGACACTGTTAGTCTTTCTGTCCAAAAAAAGGTGACTCTTTCTTATGGAGAGATGCTTTGGGTGGGGAAAAAGTTGGTACAGAAAGAAATACGCCTTTCCCAGGCTATGCCTTAGTTTGGCAAGATACTTCAGAAACCATGCAAAATATTAAGATGAGTGGCCCTTCTGAGAGCTGGTTTATTTTTGAACAAGGGTTTAACACTTAACACTGACTGAAATCTAACCAGCTGATAAAAAAATGTTTAATTTTTAATGTTGGCATAAACCAAACATTATTAAGATAGTGCTAGAGAGCAAGCTAGCTAGGCAGAAACCAGCAGGACAAAGAAAATTCAGCTGTTACAAGGCCAGAATTAATGCAAGATTTCCACCTGTAAAAAATTATCCTCAGCAGTGGAAAGAGGGAAATTCAATTGCTGAGAAAGTCCTTACTGGTGAGCAGGAGAAAGGGTGTGCTGGGCAGACACTAACCAGCAGAAAATCAGACCATCGCTTGCTGCCAGCATCTTGCACCACAGATGGGGTCACTTCCTGCATTGCGTAGCTGACACGTTTGTTTTCTGCTAACACCTTCTCACGGACTCCAGAGACACTCTTGTACATTATTTCCTGCCAAGACAACTAACCCAACAGCATGACACTGGCGTGGTTGTTTTCTTTTCCATGTATCCACAGTGATGCTGAATCATGAAGTCAGGACAGCGAAGAACTGGTTAAAGGGATGCTGCGCACAAGCTAACAGTCGCTCAGATATTGGATGAACTGGATTTAAATAGAATTCATCTCAAAAGGCCAGAGAAGCAAATGCTTTTGTTGTGTCCCGCTACAGTCTTCAGAAAAAAAACATCACCAAGGGGAAAAGGGGAAAAAAAAAAAAAAAAAAAAAGGAAAAGCACTATAGTGAGATTAGGGACTGATTAAAACTTCTGCAACAAGAAGCCTCTTCCCCTCACCCCCCCAAAAAAAACTCAGAAAGTTCTCAAAATAGTCCTTTTAAAAAAATATATATAAACAGCATCCATAACCCTGGACTATTGTGGTTGGGTGGATGCGAAGCTCACACCTATGCAATATTTGTTTTTCAACTCGCTTTTTGGTAACTGCGCGCTGATTTGCACAGGACATTTGCTGGGGAGGTACCAGGACTGACAGAGCAGCTCTGAGGACAGAGCAAGCAGCTGAAAAGCCTCTCAAAGGACTTGATGGAAGTGACTGCAGCCCAGCAAGGGCATGGTCTTTGTAGCATGCTTTGTGGTTTTCGAATTAAAGGCATCATAGAAGTGAAAAAGTATTATTTTGAGGTTGCCTGTCAGTTTGTTATCCCAACAGGCGAGTACCCTGGGCTACCTCGCACCATTTAGCCCTCCTCCCTGCCCCATGCTGTTCTCTAGCCACCACCTCCTTCAGGAATACTCAAAACATCTCATTTTTATATAAATGGAAGGTAGAAAAGTTGAACAACTCTGTGCTCACACCAAGCACAAGTTTAAGTAACGTTTACACAACTGCTTGGTCAAGGTTTTCAGATGCAGTAAGATTTCTGCTGCTTCTGGTTGTGAATATTGAGCTTAGAATATCTGAAAAATATTGACTTCTGAATGTGTCTGGTCACCTTTAGTTACATCGAAGAAAAAAAAAAAAACAAACCAGACTCCTGAGATTCCTCAAGGTGGGAATATAAATATTGTAATTGCATCCATTGACTTTGAGTGGCGTGTCTCTTATGGATGTATTTTAAATATGTAACACAAAAGTGGATCCTTGTCTGTGCAAAGCTTCCCCCGCCTTATTTAAAATATTAAATTCTTATCCCACCAGTCTTATATCCTACCTACTCTCATCTATTTAAATATACAATTTCTTCCCAGTCAACACCTGTCTAATACAATTGGGTTTGTTTTGCCTGCAAAGATTTCACTACTACATTATCATGCATAGCTTGACTCAAGAGGGCAAACAAATACCCCAAGCCTCTGGGATGACAGTTAAGTGCCACTAACAGATGACAAATGCAGAAGAGGATTCAGCTTTGTGAGTAATTGAGAATGTGTCAAAATATAAAAGAAAAATGTTTACAGCTAACCACATCCATTCATTACTGAATATGACTTGACCAGTAATTTCCTCAAAGAGTAAAAGATTTTTTCCTTGTTCCAAAACAAATTATTGCAAATATTGGTTTTAATATGAGTGATGGTAAACTAGTTTTCCTCACTTGGATGATTTTTAACTTAAAAAGAAAAAGTTCATCTTTCACAACTTTTTTCTTTTAAACATTTCCACAAGTTCTTGCCAGTAAACTCATTCTCTAGAATATTGATTCAAAATAATGCCATCACAAGGGGAAAAAAAAAAGAAAAACTGAAATACAGGAAGCTTTCAAAAAAACGGAAGTGGTTGTTTTCCATAGCAGCTTTGTTAGTAACTTCTTTCCATCAAACTAAGATATGCTCAGACTTCCTACAGTCTGCAAAGCAGTAATCTAAAGACGCCCAAAACAGG